CTTCGGTGGAGCTCCCTGTGGGGCCACGAAACGCTGCCCTGGGTGGGGGAACCGCATGCGGGCTGTGCCACTGGGACCTTCGGTGGAGCTCCCTGTGGGGCTACGAAGCGCTGCCCTGGGTGGGGGAACCGCATGCGGGCTGTGCGACTGAGACCTTCGGTGGAGCTCCCTATGGGGCTACCAAGCGCTGCCGTGGGTGGGGGAACCGCGTGCGGGCTGTGCCACTGGGACCTTCGGTGGAACTCCCCATGGGGCCACGAAACGCTGACCTGGGTGGGGGAACCGCATGCGGGCTGTGCCACTGAGACCCTCGGTGGAGCTCCCTATGGGGCCACGAAGCGCTGCCCTGGGTGGGGGAACCGCATGCGGGCTGTGCCACTGGGACCTTCGGTGGAGCTCCCTATGGGGCTACGACGCGCTGCCCTGGGTGGGGGAACCGCATGCGGGCTGTGCCACTGGGACCTTCGGTGGAGCTCCCTGTGGGGCCACCTGAGGCTGAGGGCTGATGCAGGCTGAGGCTGAGGTAGGCTGAGGCTGAGGCTTGAGGCGGCTGAGGCTGAGGCTGAGGCCGAGGCAGGCTGAGGCTGAGGCCGAGGCAAGCCCAGGCAGGCTGAGGCTGAGGCTGAAGCGCTGAGGCTGAGGCTGAGGCTGTGGCTGAGGCTGAGGCAAGTTGCGGCTGAGGATGAGGCTGAGGCTGAGGCAGGCTGAGGCTGAGGCTGATGCAGGCTGAGGCTGAGGCTGAGGCAGGCTGAGGCTGAGGCCGAGGCCGAGGCAGGCTGAGGCTGAGGCTGCAGGCTGAGGCTGCAGGCTGAGGCTGCTGAGGCTGAGGCTGAGGCTGAGGCTGAGGCAAGATGCGGCTGAGGCAGGCTGAGGCTGAGGCTGATGCAGGCTGAGGCTGAGCTGAGGCAGGCAGGCTGAGGCAGGCTGAGGCTGAGGCTGAGGCAGGCTGAGGCTGAGGCTGAGGCCGAGGCAGGCTGAGGCTGAGGCCGAGGCAAGCCGAGGCAGGCTGAGGCTGCGACTGCGAGAACAGCAGAATTCTACAACTGGATTCTCACCTAAATCTTAAGGGGAATGCTTGCAGGTATGCTTCTACACATCGCTGTTAGGTTGCTTTGCCGGGATAATCCCCCTGTAGAGGGACAGGCCCGACTTAACCCTTGTGCCGCCCTTCTGACCAGGATTCCACAGCGAATCCCTCGAAAAACCCTCGCAGGGAGGACAGGAGGCGAAACCGAGGGAGGGGCAGGGGAGCACCTTGTAACGGTATCGGACAAGTGTTCCTTCCCTCAGACATCCGACGTCGTGACTGTGCCGCAGCGTCGCTGCAAAGAGGTCTGGACCCCTTCGACCAACTCTTCGTCCTGAGTCGCTGAAGCCCCAGACCTGGAGGGAACAACAAGAAACGCTCACGGCGCGAGGATGTCAAGGTCTGGTCCTCCCCCGACCCCTTCCCCGACACCCGACGTGGTGATCTGCTCACTGCGCCGTCCCGAGAAGAACAGGCCCCGACCCCCCAGGGGGGCAGCTCTTCGCCTCAGCTTATAGTACCCCCGGAGGCCGAGCAGCGCGAGGCAGAGCGCCGGGGCTGACAGAGCGGCCGCGCGGGATGCCTGGCAGCCCCCCCCCCCTCGCCATCGGACGCCATCGCTGCGCCCGAAGCGCGCCGCCGCCGCGGCGCCCCGGCGGGCGCCCGGCCCGGCGGCCGCCCCGGGTGCGGCTGCCGCGCCGCGCGGGCGGCGCACGGCGCTCTCGCGGCGGGCGGGGCCGCCGGCAGGCGGGCGGGGCGGGGCCGGCGGGCAGCTGGGCGGGGCGGCGGACAGCCGCGCGGGGGGGCGGCGGCGGGCCGCGGGGCGGCCGGCGGCGGGGCGGGGCAGAGCGGGCGGGGGCGGGCGCGCGGGCGCCCCCGGGGGGCGGGCGGGCGCGGAAGCGGCGGGCGGGCAGCGGCAGCCGGCCGGGCGAGCGGGCGCTCCATGGAGGGCGGCGAGGCCTGGAGATCCGATCGGGCCGGGGGCCCCTCTGGGCAGAGGGGGGGGGAGGGCGGGGCGGGCAGGCGGGCGTTCGGGCTCGCGGGAGCAATCGTTTCGAGCTGCTTCGCGTGATCTGTTTTTGGTATGGCTTGCGAGTGTGTTCAGGATGCCGCCAGGGTCTTTCAGAGCTGACGCTTGCGTTTGTAGGACCAGCCCTTCATGACAAGTGGGTCCAGGGAGAGGGAGGCAGTGGGGAACAGGGGAAGTTGTGGAAGGGAAGACGGGGAGAAGGCGAGGGAGGCCTGAAGGGAGGGAGTGGCGAAAGCAGGGCAGGAGCCATGGGAGGCAGATCAGCAGGATGAACTAGTACCATCGGCGCAACCAGTCCCTGTGATGTGAGAACAAGAAGCCCAAACACAGGGCAGCCTAGAAAACGGTGAAAAAACACGCCCCTGGACCCCATCTGTCTGCGCCATTTCTCGAGCCGCATCGATATGTCAGGGTCCCGTGCCCCAAAGCCGGGCGAAAACGCCGAGCTGGAACAAAATGGGACGCCATGTTCTCTGATGCCCTCGAACTCGATGCAGGGGGACAGGGAGCGAATAATGGATGGGGGCAAGGGGAGAGGGAGGGCACGCAAGGGAGCTGGAAACTGGGAGGAGAGGCGCGGGGAGGAGGGGCAGGCGCGGAAGCGGCGCGAGCTTGAGACGGCGACGGCGAGAGCGAAGTCGACGAAAACGAGGGCGACGACGACGACGACGACCACGACGACGACGACGACGACGACGACGACGACGACGACGACGACAACGACGACGACGACGACGACGACGGCGGCGGCGGCGGCGACGGCGACAGCGACCGCCTCGGCCGATCCGTCGATCCTATCGGTCTTCGGTACTCGCTCCCGGAGGCCCCGCAGGGGGTCCCCGCGAGAGAGTCTCGCGAGGTCGCCTGGGGTTCGGAGGCCTCCGGCGGCCCGCAGCAAACTGAAGGGGCCCCAGGACACACACACACACACAGACACACACACACACAGAGACACACACACAAACACACACACACACATACATATATATATATATATATACACATGTATATATATATATATATACATATATATATACATATATATACAAATAACAGGATTCCCCATATTGTCCGGTATTTTCTTGATTTTTCGTCTTCCCCCCCACTTCCCACATTTTCCCATATTTCCTGAGCAATCGACGATGAAGTGTGTCTGCATGTTTGTTCCCCTCCTGAGAGACCGTCTCTCGAGGTCCCTGGGGTCGGAGGCCTCCGGCGGCCCGCCACAGATCCCGCAGGCGCGTCCAAGAACACCTTAGCAATCCAGAACCAGACAGCGCCCCGGAGATCCAACGCGTTGAAAGAATCAAGACGGAGGTTTTTCGCCTTTTTCGGCCTCTAGGGGTCCTCGCCGGGCCCCAGGACCTTCAAAAAACGACTCAGGATGAAAAACCGGTCCCCGGGAAGGGGTCGAGACTTCTGGGGACCGATTGAAAAAATCACGACGTCGGATCTATGGGGCGCCAGCCGCGGCGACGGCGAACGCTCTGAACAGGGGCTGTGTCGACCCCTCTCCCAGGCTGCGTGGGGCTTTCGAACGGACCAGGAGTTTGGCGCCCAAGCCTGGGATATACGACAAGGGGGCGTCTATCCTCGATAGGGGCGCGTCCGACTGGCCCCCTGGGGGTGCATGCCGAAAACAGGCAGCGCGGCGGCGGCGGCGAGCGCTCTGTGCTGTTTCGGCTACGCGCAAGAGTGACCCTAGGCAAGACTGACCTCTGGTGCGCGACTTTAGCAGAGGCGCGGAGGAACCAAACCCAAACGCGCAGGCCGCTAACCCTGAAACGTCTTTAAAACCCCCTTCCCCAACATGGGGGTAACTGCTTATCTGTTCGGCGGTATGATTGAAGAACTGGAGTCCCACCCACCGGGGGTAACGAACTATTTTTTCTGCGGCAGCCGCTGCGCAACAACGACGGAGGGGGAAGAGAAGGAGGAGGAGGAGGAGGAGGAGGAGGAGGAAAAGGGGGAATGTACTTCTGCTGTTTCTCTCTAGGATACAATTCTCTCTTTTCACATTTTCCCTAATGAACCCCCCATCCACCTCGGGTCCTCAGCCGAGGTGGAGGGGCAGGACAGGTGGCTGCCCGTGCACTACGAACCACAGCCACTAGCAAAGCACAGGAGGGGGAGGAGGTTTTAGGACACGTCCTGTTCACCGCCGAGAGAAAAAGAGGGGGGACCCAAACTAAAGACCTTTGGCGGCTAATATCGGATCGCACTCAGCCGTCTGTTGAGCAGGGACCGGCCGTCTCGGCATTCCTATAGTCCTACCACGACATGTTCTTAGAACCCAAAAATGTTCTAAGAACAACAACGGTGTTCCTAGAACGTAATCCCGAGGTGCTAAAACAAGACAGACTCCGCCGGAAATGTTCAAAGAACAGTTCGTGGGAACCACAAAAAGGTTCCTAGAACATTGCTTGGTAGGGCTATGGGCACGCCAGGACGCTTCACCACTGCTTGAGTCTGGAGATCCCTGTGTGCCCGCACCAGAGGTCGCTCCTGCGAAGGGTCATTCGCTCAGCGCGGGGCGGCCACTGGCAGCCGGCGACGGAGAGCGCCAGGCCGGCAAGCCTACCGCCCGGCAGCAGCAGGGGGCAGCCGGGCGCGGCGAGCAGGTAGAGCACCACGCCTGGGCGCGGAGTTTCGGCCGCGGCCCTCGAAGATCGGAGACGTTAGGGACCCAGAGATACAGCGTAAAACGGAATTGTTTCTCCGTTTTCGGCCTCCAGGGGCCCTCGCTGGGCCCCAGGACCGTCAAGAAACGACTCGGGATGGAAAACCGGTCCTGGTGAATGGGTCGAGAGTTCCGGGGGACCCCTAGTGAAAACATCACGACATCGGATCTCTGGGGAGCAAGGAAAAGTGATGCCACCACCAGGGACTCTCAGCGGGACGAGCCGGGGGGGTTCCCCCTGGTGGTATGCCCCCCCCCCTCTCGCTCGATACGCCCACCATCCCCAGCTATAGGGGAGGCATCGTGGACCTCCTCGCCGGAGGTGGCCCCCCTGGTGGTGGTGGTGTCACTTCTCCTTCCCCCGAAACGTCCTCGTGTCGCAAGTCAGAGCTGGTGGCGCGCAATGTGCTGCCACTTTCTTGGCCCTCGGGGGCCCTCGCTGGGCACCAGGGCCGTCGACCAGCGGGTGCAGGATGAAGAGCCGGTCCCCAGGAAAGGGTCGAGACCTCTGCAGGGACCTGTCGTCGGATGTCTGGCATCGAAGGCTCGCGGGCCGAGGCCTCCCAAGACTCTTGGAGCCTCGAAGGCCGATCGGCGACAGCCACGCCCGAAAGTTTCTATTCTGTTCGGGAGAGAGGGGGGGGGTACTCGCCCTGACCTCCCAGGGTGCTAACAAGGAGCCCTCCAGACCTGTGTGCCTATCTGGACTGCTCAAAACTTTGTTTTGAGCTCAACGCCCGCACAGCCAAGTGAAAAAACAGGACCAGCAGCGGTGGCTGGGAAACCACTGCTGGTAGCGAGGGCGACCTCACTGACTGAAAGGGTACCTCCAGCAGCCCCGGGGACTAGGAGGCACTGGCCACGCGACGGGCGACCGCCCCGTGGTCGGGCAAGAGAAAAACAGTCCAGTGCCTCAGCAGGGCATACGGTCGGGGAGGGCAAATCCTCCCCCGCGCCTGCCGCGCAACCTGTACTCGACAGGAATTGAGACGCCAAGGTCCTGTTTGGGAGGGGGGGGGATGCGGGCGTTGGCGCTCGGGCGGCCTCGGGTCGGCCGGCCTGCCCCTCCAGGCGCCCAGAGGGGCCTCTGGAGGCCGGGCCCGGCGGCGGAGCTCGAGCTTCCGAGCAGGCCCTCTTCGGCGTCCTCGTCGTCCAGCTGCTGGCCCCTCCCCCTCCTCCTCCTCCTCCTCCTCCTCCTCCTCCTCCTCCTCCTCCTCCTCCTCCTCCTCCTCCTCCTCTTCCTCTCTCCTCCTTCTCCTCCTCCTTCCTCCTCTCTCCTCCTCCTCCTCCTCTTCTCCTTCTCCTCCTCTCCTCTCCTCCTCTCCTCCTCCTCCTCCTCCTCTCTCCTCTCGGCATCGTCACCGTTTTTCTCCGCGCGACGCCAAGGTTGTTTTCGCCAGGGTGCTCGCCAGCAGGCAATCGAACGCTAAACATGCATCTTTTGCACGTGACTGGTTTACGTGGCTGTGCAGGCTGACTCAGCTACTCTTATCCTCCTCCTCTCCTCTCCCTCCTCCTCACCTCCTCCTCCTCCTCTCCTCCTCCTCCTCCTCCTCCTCCTCCTCCTCCTCCTCCTCCTCCAAGTGGCGCCAAAAGGCCTCCAACAGGCCCCGAAGAGGCCCCCATCCACAGAAATTGCTGCCAACCTTAGCCATGAACCTATAGTAGCCCTCCACGGGGGCTCTGGAAGAACATGTCTGCTGTGGCATTCGGTCGCTCGCTGTGCCCTGACCCACAACCCAAGCACGGTGGCGGGATGGGCCAAGGGCCGCAGAATCCGCCGCCCCCTGCTTGCAGGGGTGCACGGCGTGCTGGATGATTCAGGTTTTGGTTTTGGTTCTTTTTCTAAAAGAACTCCCCAATGGGCTTCGGCCCGTCCCGCCGGCCACCCGCAAATTTCCCAAAATCCATCTGTCAATGCCCAAAAACGGCCGTTTCGCTCGGGACATCCTCAAAAAATCGCGAAGATGGCCCAAGATGGCCTCCAAGTCCGCCCGAGATGGTCCAAGACGGCCTCCAAAACGGCCCAAGAGAGTCCAAGACGGCCCAAGACGGCCCAAGAGGGCCCCCAGAGGCCTCCCAGACGGCCCAAGAGGCCTCCAAGAGGTCCTCCAGGAGAGTCCGAAGAGGCCAAAATCATTGATTTTCCCTTGGTTTTTGAAGGATTTTGGCATTTGCGCCTTTTCGGCTCTCCGACGGCTCAAGACGGCCCAAGAAGCCCCCAAGATCGCCCAAGAGGCCCCCAAGAGAGCCCCATGATGGCCCAAGTGGCCTCCAAGATGGCCCCTAGAGGGCCCCAAGAGGGCCCAAGAGGCCTCCAACACGCCCAAGATGGCCTCCAAGACGCCCAAGATGGCCTCCAAGACGGCCCTGGAGCATTCCAAGCGGGCCCCAAGTCGGCCCATAGAGGCCCCCCAAACGGCTTCCGACGGCTTCAGACGTGCCAGGAACCCACCAAGATGGCCGAAGTTGGCTCGAAGCTGGCCCGAGACGGCCCAAAAAGCCCCAAAGATCGCCCAAAGCTTGCCCAAGAGGCCTCCAAGACGGCCAAGATGACCTTCAAGATGCCCACGTGTTCCCCGAAGGCTTTCCAAACCGATTCGGGGAACACATGGTCCGATAGCTTGGCAGGTCTGGCCTCAACGTTCGGCCACATAGGCGCTTCCAAAAAGGCAGGGGGCGGCGGTGATTCGCCGTAGGCGTCTTCGATCCGCCGCCCCCTGTGGTCTTGCCACAGGGGTGCACGGCGTGCTGGATGTTTCAGGTTTTGGTTTTGGTTCTTTTTCTAAAAGAACTCCCCAGTGGGCTTCGGCCCGTCCCGCCGGCCACCCGCAAGTTTCCGAAAATCCATCTGTCAATGCCTTTGTTGCCCCAACTTGGCCCAAGATGGCCTCCAAGACGGCCAAGATGGCCCAAGATGGCCTCCAAGATGCTTCCAAGACGGCCAAGATGGCCTCCAAGACGGGTAAGATGGCTCCAAGATGCACCCAAGACGGCCCAAGATGGCCTCAAGATGGTCTAAGACGGCCCAAAAGGCCCGCAAAAGGCCTCCAAGACGGCCCAAGAGCCCTCCAAGACGCCCTCCAGGAAGGCCCGAATAGGTTAAAATCATTGATTTTCCTTAGGTTTTTCAAGGATTTTGGCATGTTCTTCTTTTCAGCTCTCCGACGGCCCAAGACGGCCCAAGAGGTCCCCAACATCGCCCCAACAGCACCCAAGAGGCCTCCAAGATGGCCCCATGACGGCCCAAGAGGCCCCCAAGAAGGCCCCAAGAGGGCCTCAAGACGGCCCAAGAGGCCTCCAAGACGCCCAAGATGGCCTCCAAGACGGCCAAGATGGCCCAAGATGGCCTCCAAGATGCCTCCAAGACGGCCAAGATGGCCTCCAAGACGGGTAAGATGGCTCCAAGATGCACCCAAGACGGCCCAAGATGGCCTCAAGATGGTCTAAGACGGCCCAAAAGGCCCGCAAAAGGCCTCCAAGACGGCCCAAGAGCCCTCCAAGACGCCCTCCAGGAAGGCCCGAATAGGTTAAAATCATTGATTTCTATTGGTCCGAACAGATCTTGTGTATATCGTCTTTTCGGCTTTCCAAAACTCCGCGACATCCCAATAAGCCTCCAAGAGCGCCCCAGAACAGTCCAAGAGGCCTCCAAGAACGCCCTAGACGGCACAAGAAAGCCCCAAAACGGCCCCAAAGACAGCCCCAAGACGGCCCGGCAGATCTCCCAAACGCCCACGCTGGCGTCCACTACGGCCACGATAAACCCAAGTGAGGCCACAGAGAGGCCCCCAACCCAGCCCAGACGGCGTCAGGCAGAACAGGAAGGCCGCAAGGCATCCAAAGAGGCCCCCAAGATGCTTCCAAGACCGCACATGTGGCCCAATATAAACCCAGAGTAGCCAAAAAGGCACTCAAGAGACCTCCTCCTCCATTCCCCCCCTTCCTATCTCTCCTCTCCTCCCCGTCCTCCCCCACGTGTTCCCCGAAGGCTGTAAAGACCGATTCGGGGAACATATGGCCCAATAACTTGGCAGACCTCTGGCCACAGCAGTCGGCCGCATCGGCGCTTCCGAAAGGGCAGGGGGCGGCGGTGATTCGCCGTAGGCGTCTTCGATCCGCCGCCCCCTGTCGATTCATCGCAGGGCTGCCTGGCGTGCTAGACGCTCTCGGTTTTGGTTTTGGCTCTTTTTCCAAAAGAACTCCCCCTGGGGCGTCGGCCCGTCCCGCCAGGGTCCCGGGCGGATTGCCCAGGACCCCAACGTGCACAAAACATCCTCCCTGAAACGGCCGTTTCACTCGGGACATCCTCAAAACATCGCGAAGATGGCCCAAGATGGCCTCCAAGTCCGCCCAAGATGATCCAAGACGGCCTCCAAAACGGCCCAAGAGAGTCCAAGACGGCCCAAGACGGCCCAAGAGGCCCCCCAGAGGCCTCCCAGACGGCCCAAGAGGCCTCCAAGAGGTCCTCCAGGAGGGCCCAAAGAGGCCGAAATCAGTGATTTGTCATAGATTTTTGAAGGATTTTGGAATTTGCTTCTTCACGGCATTCCGACTGCTCAAGACGGCCCAAGAGGCACCCAAGATCGGCCAAGCGGCCCCCAAGAGGGCCCCATGACAGGCCAAGTGGCCTCCAAGACGGCCCCAAGAGGGCCCAAGAGACCTCCAACACGCCCAAGATGGCCTCCAAGACGCCCAAGATGGCCTCCAAGATGGCCCCGAAGCGCCCCAAGAGGACCCCCAGTCGGCCCAGAAAGGCCTCCCAAACGGCTCCCGACGGCGTCAGACGCGCCAGGAACCCACCAATATAGCCGAAATTGGCTCGAAGCTGGCCCAAGACGGCCCAAGAGGCCCCCAAGAGGGCACTCCAGGAAGGCCAGAAAAGGCAAAAAACATGTATTGTCCTAAGGTTTTCTACGGATTTTGTCATTTCCTTCTTTTCGGCCTTCCGACGG